AAGCCTTTAAGACCCCAGACACTATATCTTTTGATAGCCGGGCACCATCAGCTTTCTTCACCACATTTACTTATGTATCCATTTTGTCTTCAGCAATTATGTCAAGAAGGTGAACATCACAGAATGACAGGTTATTAGAACAAATTGTTCTTGTGTTGAGGGAGTACTGGAGTAGAGGCCCAATGTCCATCTGCTACCTTAATACTTAACATAAATATATGCACATAGATCTATTTCCCTATCATTATATATAAATATATTTACATATATACATGCCTGTATGCAGACCTCTATAAATGTCCTTTGACTCCTAGTTCTTTCTTCTATTTCCTTTTACTCACCTCTTGTCCCACTTGATATCATGTCCAGCCTTCACTTGGGTTTCAGTAATTCCTCTCAGCTACACTGCCCTTAATCAAGCCCCACCAGGCTTCCTATGTCCTCCTCACCAAAGATTTTAGATCACTTGTTGTGCCATTGTCCCTGGGTTTGTTGACAGCCCCCTTCCTTTCCCCTGCCTCACTCTCTCCTCAGAACTCCTCAGAACTCCTCAGAACTCCCCCTCAGAACCATCGGTCCTGTTGTTTTCTCTTCTGGATTGTTTAGGCTGCAAATTTTTACAGGAGCAGACAGCCTCATCTTTTCCCCTCAAAGAGTGACTGGTGGGTTTGAACTGGTGGGGCCTAACACATAACCCACTAGGGTTTCTATAGCCTATGGAGGGCACCCGCAAACTACACAGCCACTCTCCAAAGCCTCTGGGCCAATCCCTGCATGCCAAAAGAGATCTGCAAATGTCACATATCCTACATGTGAGAAGTATGGAAAAAAAAAAAAAAGAGTGATATTATACCAGTAAGAGGTCAACAATAATAGATAATAAGCATGACAAAAAGTTTGCTTTTAAGAAGAAAATAGCAATACAGCAAGTAATCTCCATGAACGGTTGGTTTTTAGATCCCAATCCCTTCACTAGCTGTCTAACAGAACAATTTCTTCACCTCTCTGAGCTGGATTTCCTCACATGAAAATGAAGACAGATGCGACACCATGGGTCAGGCAATGGCCTGCTAACTGCAAGGCCTTTCGTTCAAACCCACAAACTGCTCCATGGGGGAAAGTTGAAGTTTCTGATTTTGTAAAGGTTTCCATACAATTACTAGCACGGGAATCAATTTGAGAGCAGTGGGGCTGGGTGCTTTGGTTTTCAAGATCCAAAGAAAATTCTATACTAGCTTTTCCATACTAAAATTATAATCAGCAGAAGTCATATCCTATCATATTCAGTCTTTGAAACAGATTTGGCTACATTATAAAGAGAAAAAAAAAGTACACAAAAATTTCTTACACTGCCTCTAAATCTTGATTGTGGAACTCTTAATATTATACCTGGGTTGTTAAAAAATGCAAAATTTGATCATGATAACTCATTTCTCTCCATTTTAAATAATGAAGTATTTAACATGACCTTTTACCTACCCTTAAATTTCATTGTTCAAGCACATACAATCATAAATTCAATTCCTTGATGAAACATCAATATTTAAGAACAATTATTTTCAAATACTTACAAGCAATGACTGATCAACTTTCAAAGATGATTTTGTGATCATATTATCACATTATTATGCTATCTTATTCTTTCATTCACTCAATATTTTGAAGGCATTCTTTCTGTCAGATATTATTTCATTTCTATTTAGTCCCTCAAATAAAAGTCAAATAGAATGGGAATCTTACCAATGTGGCCTCCTCCAATGGTGTATGTCTTCCCCGATCCAGTTTGTCCATAGGCAAAAACTGTCGCATTATAGCCCTCAACGAGTGACAGCACTAGTGGTTTTATACACGTGTTATACACTTCATCTTGAGTGGAACTTTTGCCAAAGACATAATCAAAGGTAAAGATTCTATCTCTCCCAATGATAATCTGCTGGGTGTTTGGAATAACTCTCACACACACTTGATGATTATGAAGAACTTCTTTGCAAAGTAGAGGTCTAATTCTTACAGCAACTTTTACTGGTATTTCTTCCATGGCAGCTTAGATTTCACTAATTAGGTTTTCTACTTAGTATTCAGTATCTAGTGTGAGAAACATCCATTTTATGTAACCTCTGGACTCCTGTGCAGCAAAATTAAGGGGGGAAAAAGTTTTAATTACTGATTCCTCTACTCTAATAAACTAACTATCTCCTAAAACAAAATGAATCAGAGCAGGTAGTGTTTCAATGCAGAATACTTACAAAGAGTAAACCTAGCGTGGAACAGTAGCCCATTCATTCATAGATGAAATGATAGTGATCTAGGAGGTAGAGGCTATGAGGAGCTAGTAAATGTTGAAGCTAGGTGATAAATCCATGGGATTCACTCCATTGTTATCATTCTTTTTCTTTTAAATCAAGTAAGGGGCTTTTTTTTATAGCAATTTTACTTGTTTCCCCATCTTCCCCAAGTTAACACCTTTCTGCTCTCTAACCAGGATAATCCATTGAGAGAAAACATGTCAAGTGGCACTGGGTCAACTGGGTCTCTATATGCAAAAAAAACCAAGTTGGACCCTTATATCACAGCATCTAAAAAAATATCCAATATGGATATGATACCTAAACATAAGAACGAAAAGGCTAGAAAAGGCTTAAAAGAAAGCACAGGTGTACATGGCCACAGTCTTGGAAAAGGCAGGATTTCCCACTGTGGGTAATACTTCCTCAGGGGCACGGAAGCTCTTCAGGGGGGAGATACCCATGCTGTATCCTGGGTCATGTTCTATAATATCAAGCTTTTTCGTTGTCAAGGAGGTGCCCCGTTGGGTAATTTTTTTTTTTTTCCTGAAAAGGAGATAGTAAGCCAAATAAACTTGGAAGCTGGTGTATTATGCAGTGTTTTCTTCCATATGATATTAAAGGCAAAGGCAATAAGGGAAAAGATAGTTAAATTGGACTTCATCAAAATTAAAAACGTTTATGCTTCAAGGGACACCAAAGGAAGAGAGTGAAAAGACAACTCATTGAGTGGGAGAAAATATCTTAAAATCGAGTATCTGATAAGGGACTTGGATCTGGAATGTATGAAGAATTATCACAAGTCAATAAGGAAAAATAAATCACTGTCATCGAGTTTGATTCAGAGCGACCAACCCAATTTAAAAATAGGCAAAAGGACAAGCATTTCTCCAAATAAAATATACAGATGGTCAATAAGCCCATGAAATGATGTCTAACCTTATTAGCAATCAGGATACTGCAAATCTAAACAACTGTCACGTCATATCTACTGGGAGGACTAGAATTAAAAAGTTAATCGCAAAATGTTCAACATTAGCTGTCAGGGAAACGCAACTCAAAGCCAGTTAAATATCACTTCACACTCACTGTTGTTACCTAACTTCGACTCACTCCAAACAATGGCAGCCCTATGCACATCAGATCAGAAGGAAGCACTGTCCAGGCCAGCACCACGCCCTTGAGACCATGTTTCATTATTATCCATAGGGTGTTCATGGGTGATTTTCAGAACTAGCCCACCATGTCTTTCTTCCTAGCCCATGTGAGTCTGGAAACTGCTGAAACTTGCCTGCATCAATTACACCAGCATGCAAACCTCCACTGATAGATGGGTGGTGGCTGGGAATGAGGTTCATTGGCCCAGAAACAAACCTGAGTCTCCTACACCAGAGGTGAGGATTCTACCACTGAACCACGAACTCCTCACTTCACACCCATTTGGACAACTATGGAGTACCTGATGGTGCAAACGGTTAACAAGCTCACTGCTGAGATCGTCAGGTGGGTCCTCGCAGAGAAACTTTGAAAGACGAAAGGTCTGGTGATCTACTTCCCAAAAAAGATCAACTGTTTAAAATGGAGTCAGTTCCACTTTGACACATGAATCACAACTGGTTTAGGACAGTTGTGTCTACTCTGATACACATGGGATCATCATGAGCTGAACTCAACTCCACTAAAATGAGGTTAGGGCAGCTATACTTTTAAACACACACACTAAAAACAAAAACAGGTAAGTATCAGTGCATATACAGTGGGCTTGGAACCCATGTGCACTGATGGTAGGATGTACAATAGTGAAGCCTTTTTGGAAAAGAGTCAGAGTTTCTCAAAAAGTTAATCAGCCTTTAGACCTGGCAATTCCACTCATAGACATATGCCCAAGAGAAGAGGTAGCACATTCACATGGGAATGTCTACATCGATGTTCATAGTCTTGGTAGATTAAAGCTTGTATGAAAGCTAAAGAACAGTGGAGAGGTCTGGGGGGGCGGCCTCAATCCCAACTACTAAGTGGACACCTGCCCCTCCCCCCAGAAGAACTTATTTCAAAAGACAGCATTGAATCTGCAGCTCCGGGAGAGGGACACATCTGATCAGAGCACACGGGAGCAGATGAAGGGGGAGGAGGAGGGAGGAGGAGAGAGTGGGGCACATCCTGGCCCATCAGGCCTTGAGGACAATGTTCTCAATTAGAGCAGCCAGTCCACAGAGAGGACCGCATGGCCGGCCCCACTATGAGACATGACACCACTCACTGACCCATAGCCCTACAGGGGACAACACCGGAGACACAGTG